TTTCCGTGTTTACATTTGCTTGACCACATTTTTCAAGTAAATGTGGAAATTGACAAGCAATAAATATGATGCATGTATATACCAATATATAATATAACGTTCATCACTTCCTTGCAATTGCTTGCAAGTTCTGTCATTTACATTTGCTTGACCACATTTGTCAAGTAAATGTGGAAATTGACAAGCAATAGATATGATGAATGTATATGCCAATACGTAATATAAGTGTGGAAGAATTTCAAAGTAGGGACCAATTTCTAGATAATTTAAGTCTATAAATAAGATTGTTATAGAAATTTCAAACTAGGAAAGTAGTATGAAAATATTCACATTTAATGGATCAATAAGAATCTCTTTCTTAAATTCTCTATAATTACTTATAATTTATCAATTAAATTTTTATCAAGAAAAATCCTTGCACCTAAGATCTAGCACTAAATGGTAAACTCATCACAATCAATTCAACTACTTCCTCACTTCTACTTTGTAAATTAGTTTTGCTTTTAGCTTTATATGATACGGTATAAAATTAATAAATCATATTCACTTGAAGGCTCAACTTACAAAGTTTAATTTTGTTATTTAATCTAGTAGGCTCAAGGATTGGGCTTAAATGAAAGAATTATTGGGCTTTAAAACACAAGTAGATCTTTTAATTAGGTAAAGATATAAAGATAAACCCTTTCTTTTTTAACTTCTTTAATTCCACTTTGTTAAGGGAAACAAAAAATTAAAAATAATAAAAGAAACACAAAAAAATGTTTTATAAGGTAGATTATACATTAAATGTGTAGTTTGACTTATAAATTTATTAAATTTTTTTAATGAAATAACATAATAAATAATTTCATTAAAGATGTTTGAATAAATTTATAGGGTGAATATCACTTTTAATATGTAGTTCTATTGTAATGAATCCCAAAGAATAAAAAGAAAGTAAGAACAATAAAGACACGTTAATGTTGGACCTTCTAAAAAGAAGGCCAAAATAACTCAAGAGTCTTTTACTCCTCTCCGTTCATCACTTCCCTACAATTGCTTGCAAGTTTCTTCGTTTACATTTGCTTGACCACATTTGTCAAGTAAATGTGAAAATTGACAAGCAATAAATATGATACATGTATATGCCAATATATAATATAACATTCATCACTTCCCTGCAATTGCTTGCAAGTTTCCTCGTTTATATTTGCTTGACCACATTTGTCAAGTAAATGTGGAAATTGACAAGCAATAGATATGATGAATGTATATGCCAATACGTAATATAAATGTGAAAGAATTTCATAGTAGGGACCAATTTCTAGATAATTTAACTCCATGAATGAGATTGTTATAGAAATTTCAAATTAGGAAAGTAATATGAAAAGATCCATATTTAATGGATCAATAAGAATCTCTTTCTTAAATTCTCTGTAATTACTTATAATTTGTCAATTAAATTTTTATGAAGAAAAATCCTTGCACCTGAGATCTAGCACTGAATGGTAAACTCATCATGATGAATTCAATTACTTCATCACTTCTATTTTGTAAATTAGTTTTGCTTTTAGCTTTACATGATACGGTATAAAATTAATAAACCATATTCACTTGAAGGCTCAACTTGCAAAATTTAATTTTGTTATTTAATCTTCCTTATTTAGCATGTCATATCTCGGTATATTTTATTTTAAATAGTTATTTTTTAATTCGTTTTAATTAAAAATTCTTTTCTTTTTATTTGTTCAAATAATTTTAAAATTAGTGATTTTTTTACTCAATTAATTATAATTTTTGTAAATTTGACACTCTTTTTATTACTTTATTATTTTATTACTTAAGTGACTAGTACACTTATTAGTAAATTTTAGCACATCAATTTTTCTTGGGATAATATACCATGTGTAATATCCCAAATTTTTGGGAATTTTATCAATTAAGTTAGGGGATTAATTTGTGAGAAAATATTGTTTTGGGGTTTAATAGTCAAATTTTAAAAAGTTAAAGGACTAAAAAGAAAGGAAATTAGGATAAGGATCCACTGCTTTTTCTTTTCTTTTTTCTTTCTTTTCTTATAAACATCATCCATCACAAAAATGGTGTAATGACAAAAGTCGTTTTGCTTGAACACAAGGGCCTTGACGAAGACTTGGATCATAATACCATGTCTAAGACTCAATAATTTTTATTTTAAATGGTTATTTTTTAATTAGTTTTAATACAAAATTTTTCTCTTTTTATTTTTTTAAATAATTTTAAAATTAATTAGTTTTTATACTTAATTAATTATAATGTTTGTAGATTCAACACTCTTCTTATCATTTTATTATTTTATTACTTAAGTGACTACACCACTTATTAGTAAATTTTAACACATCAATTTTTTTTGGAATAATATACCATGAATCTCACCTATTCATTTCATGCAAAGTTCTAATGAAATTGAAAATTAATATAAAGAATTGATACATACATCACTTTCTAATCACAATAGTAGTTCATATGTAAACATCATCCATTACAAGCATGGAGTAATGACAAAAGTCGTTTTTCTTGAACACAAGGGCATTGAGGAAGACTTGGATCATAATACCATGACCAGACTCAATCAAGCCTTTCATTAGTGTCAAAACTTTTTGTCATGTCAGTTAGATTAGATCAAATGTACATGCCTATCTTTGATTGGTCAAAGTCTTGATAATCATAAATAATTAATTTGAATTGCTTTCCAACTAATATTGACGCGGTTTGGAAAGGACTTGGTTGTTGCTTTAGCTTTACTCGTTATTCTTTATAATGTCTAAAAGCTCTTTTTCAATGTTACTCAATGACAATTAGTCCCATTAGTTAATTAAGATATTTCCTTATAATTGCTCTCTCATAATCAATTCCTAACTAAACAAAAGATTATGTTGTTATGCATATTCTATGGTTAATGATGATCCACTGATTTATTTTAATATTATATAAAGGCCACAATAAAAAAAGTTTGCTTTGTGCTTAGTCAACTACTCCCATTAGTGCAAGTATTTGGAATTTTTTTTTTCTTAAAAGACTTTTTTCAAATATATTAAAGGTGTTTAGTAAGTGTTAAAAAAATTTGTTTGAGAGTACCATTCATGAGTTTAAAATTTTGTTAGAGAAATATTTAAAAATGATTAGAAATATTTAAAAATGATTAGAAATATTTAAAAATGATTAAACATTAACTTGGTTTCTCTTTCATTATAATCTTCAATTAATATATTAACTTTTTCCATGGAAAGAATACCAATTCACAAACAAGAGGAAAGAACAAGAGCAGAATCCTAGAAGAACATTATAGCGTGAAAATTTTAATATTGTTATTATACCTCTCAATCTAAGTGTGAAAGGCATGAACAAGGAGTAGAAAAATGTTCAAGTTGGAAAATGCACACTGTACTCAGAATGAATCCAAATTCTTGGTACTATCCGTCTTTAATTCTCATAGCTGGTTGGGGAAAGTAGATTAATTCCTTTTCGTATATATTCTGCAGATGTTAAAACTATCATATGTGGATTGTTGAACAAACTCTTAATTCTTTGAGTACTGATAGAGTTTAAAAGGGGTGTTTAGTTTCACTGGTTTTATCATCTTATAATTTTTTTCATAAATGTTATGTTAGAATATTTAGAAATATTAACCTGTAAGTAAATTTTAAACTAATATCAACTAATAAACAATGTCTAACTTTGTCAAAATACTATATATTATTTGAACTATACACGTCACTTTCAATATTAGTTATGAACTGATGAACAATATTGTGTTTTCGATAAGGTATTTTTAACATAAGTTAATGATGTATTAATTATATTTTTTTATAATTAATTT